CAGTAGCATCATTTAAGAAGAAACATAGAAACAACAAGCACATGGCGTTACACAAGTTAAATTTACACGGATATAAGTACCAAAAACAAACCAAAGAAAGCGAAAAAAAAAAAGGAAATTTTGAAACTACTAGTTTTCTTGCTACTTTACTACAGCTTATGTACTACTTTTGCTTCTACTGCTGTTATCGGCCAACACTGTTAGCTGCTTCACAACATCTCTCATGTTTGGTCTCTTGTTAGCCTCCTTATCAGTGCACCTCAAAGCAATCAAGATCACATTTTGCACATGCCCTCTCACACTCGAATCTGTAATAAATTCATCTAAGAGCTCTGAATCCACAACAGACTCAATGTCTTCACCTTCGTCCAAAGCCGATCTAACCCAACCGACAATATCCATTTCGGGCCCAAACAATGGGTCCACAACTTCCTTACGGGTGATTAGTTCCAAAAGGACCACACCATAAGCGTATACATCTGTATCCTTGGTACTTTTAATCGAGAATGCGCTTTCTGCCGAGAAAAATTTGTATTAGTTAACAGAACCCGATTTCTGCAAGAACATGGTAGGCAAATTTAAAATGTAACTAAAAGTTGGACTTCTCTGAGTTTTGTCTTGGCCAAGGCAAGAAATTACCACTTCATGTATTAAAGATTTTGGCTAAATGTAGTATTTGCAAAAACACACACAAAAACCAAAAGAAGACAATTCAAGAATATGCAAACACTCCCTTGAGCCCACATGAAATTTCAAAATGCCCCAGGGAATTTGGGAGGGTTTTGGCATATCTTGCTAAAAAGAATTGAGCTTTCCCCAAACACCACTTTACAAGTAACTACATCAATTAAAACTCAAAATTGTTGCCCTAGAAATGTTGAAATTTTGTTTTTATTTATTTTTTCCTTTTTCTGTTCATGTACGCATGAGATTTCCCAACATTTTTTCAAATTTCAGTGACTTGATGGTGAGAATAGATAGATGTACAACAATATCGGTACACGACTAATATCATGCTTGGAGTCGGGCAACAAATAAAAGAGGTGAAAATATTGATGAATTAAACATACCTGGAGCCATGTAACCAAAAGTGCCCTCAATCCTGCTGCACGTATTCAAACCAACCGACTCATCCAAAAGCTTAGCTATGCCAAAATCCGAAATATGAGGATCAAACTCCGAATCAAGTAAAATGTTCATCGGCTTAATATCTCGGTGCACAATAGCAGGATCACAGTCAAAATGCAGATACGCTAGTCCGTGGGCTGTCCCAAGCGCTATCCTGTACCTCATCCCCCAATCCAATGGCTTTATAGGACAAGCCCCGTGCAGAACATCGTAAAGACTCCCGTTCGGCATGTAACCATAAAGAATCAAACCGTGATCTTTTCTCAGCCAAAAATCCTCGAGTTTGACCAGATTCCGGTGTCTGACTTTCCCGATTGTTTCGATTTCTCGAACCATGCTGTTCGTCTTTCCTTCCTTAAGCCCACTTAAATCGAGCTTCTTCAAAGCGTAGACTTTTGTGGGGGTTAACGTGACCTTGTACACCTTCCCGTGGGCCCCACTCCCGACCAAGTATCTGTCGTTTAGATTCTCGGTGGCTTCCAAGACTTGGCTGAGAAGGGATGAAGCCCCTTCTTCCTCGCCCGGGAGAAGAAAATTACGTTTACGCCCTTTTTGCCTCAAAAGCACACAACATATTCCGAGAGCGAGGATAATAACGGCTAAAAGAGCCAATCCTAAAAGAGCTACGGCAATATGAAAATGCCTAAGACCTCTTCTTTTTCTTGAAATACTACCACATGATTTAAAGGTGTTATACTCCCGACAGCTCGTTTGGCCTCCTGCACGACAATCGACGCATAAATCTCGATTCCCGATCAACGAAAATGGAGAAGAAATCACCAATTCCAGAAACTGAGATGGAATAGGACCGAAAAAGTTATTGTACGAGAAGTTGACCAAAGTCAAAGAACGGAGCCCACTAACGGCCTCCAAAGTTCCCGACAGATTATTGCAACAGATATCCAACTCTTCCAGCATTTTTAACTTCCCAACTTCTAACGGAACACGACCCGTTAACCCGTTTCTGCTAAGATTAAGTGACCTCAGGCTGTGAGCTTCGTTTTCCAATCCTACCGAAAGAGGGATAGTTCCACCTAATCGATTTCCACCAAGCTGCAAAAAAGAGAGCTTTCCTACTCCAAATAAAAAATCAGGGATGCCACCAGCAAAACGATTTTCACTAAGATCCAAAACGGCTAATTCTGTCAAGTGACTTAAGCCAGACAGGATGGTCCCGTTCAGCCGATTGTGGCCCACGTCAAGTTTCGATAATTTGCGGCAGTTGGACAATTCTGACGGTAAAACACCTTCAAGAACATTGTAGGACAGATTCAAACTCTCGAGATGCACGATATTTTCGAGCTGATGAGGAATATGTCCACTGAGGTTATTGAATGATAGGTCTATAGAGGTGATGTTAGTGAGATTAGCTAAGCTTGAAGGTATTGCTCCACTAAGGGTATTATTGCTAAGATCCATAAACAATAGGTCCGAATTCGGTACAAACTCCGGAAGCACACCTGTAAGATTATTCGATTTCAGAACCAATCTTTTCAGAGAAAAGCAACTCCCTATATCAGAAGGAATATTTCCTTCAAACCGATTTTGACCCAAAATAAGCTTCTCCAATTTCTTCCCATGGCAAAGATTCGGAGGTATAGGGCCCGAGAAGCTATTGCGGGTAAGATCTATTAAAGTCAGGCTACTATTTATGCCTAGCTCACGAGGTATTACTCCGGAAAATCGATTGTCGAACAAGGAAATATTTCTCAGCTGCTTCAGCTCGGTTATTTCCTTAGGTATCTGGCCTACGAGATTGTTATTGTAAACGATGATATCTTGAAGGCTTTGGATTTTCCAAATACCAATGGGAATTTCTCCACTTAAACGGTTGGTGAAAAGCATAAGTGTCTGCAAATCACCTAGCGAACCTAATTCACTCGGTATCTCACCCTCAAGCTCGTTTTCATACACCTGCAAATCAGTCAAGGCCTTGCAATTTCCCAACTCAGGCGGGATTTTTCCAGATAACCGATTTTCGGACAGGTAAAGCAGTGTTAGCTTTGAAAGTTGACCTAAAGATGAAGGAATAGGCCCACTTAAGCTGCAATTAACGGCTGCAAAGTTTGTTAAGCCACTGCAATTTCCCAATCCCACTGGAATATTTCCAGAAAAGCTGTTGTTCGACAAAACAAGGGTCCGTAACTCTATACAATTGCCCAAATCTGGAATTTCGCCCGATAGATTATTATTATCCACGACTAAAGAAACAAGTCGGTCGAGATTGTTTAAGCTACGAGGCAATGCACCTTCCAGATTATTGTGATGCAAATAAAGCTCTTGCAAAGAACTGCAGTTACCTATGGATGAAGGAATAACTCCAGATAACTGATTATAGTCCAAATACAAAAATTCGAGATGGCTTAAATTCCCTAAATTCGATGGAATAGAGCCGCTGAGGCTGTTGCTGCTGAGGTAAATTGTGCTCAAGAATGGAATTCGAAATAAAGACTCGGGTATTTCGCCAATGAGAGAATTTGACCACAAGCTCAGATATTGCAATGCTTGCAAATTCCCAATATTTTCTGGGATTCTACCAGAAAAATTGTTTTCAGACAGATCCAAGTCCTGCAAATTCTGCAAATTTCCAAGAGTTGCTGGAATTTCTCCAGAAAAACTGTTTTCGAACAAATACATATCCTCAAGAAGACTACAATTGCCTAGAGCTGGTGTGAGTGAACCAGAAAAACTGTTATTGCTCAAGTCAATTGTCTTCAACCTCTTTAAATAAGCAATTTCGGGTCCCAATCGACCTGACATCCCAAAGCTAGACAAATTTAAACCAACAATGAAGTTTTCACGGTCACAATGCACCCCGAGCCAAGAACAAGGTGTGGCATTAGAAGCATTCCAGTTGAGCTTAATGGATGGAGGTACAACCGTCCAATGCCTAACAAGGGACAACAGAGTTGTACCATCTGAATTCAGAGCAGCCACCCCCAATTTTGAAGCAGAAAACCAGAAAATCAACATGAAACAACTGAGAATTTTCATGTCAAAGCTCTCACCTCAGCAATGACCAAAAATATTCTGAATTCCCCCTAAACAAAATCCAATCTTGAGGTGGAAACTGAACTGAAAACAGAAAGCCAAAAACAGAACAGAAAAAATGTCACCTTTACAACAAGTTCAGAAACACAAAAAACAGGAAGGCAGTAAAATTAAAACCAACAGAATCTTTCACAGAGCTAAAGGGTTTTCTTGGTTCATCAAAACGAAACTAAAAATTTGAAATTACGATAGGTTTGAAACAAAAATCGACACTTTCACAGTGTGAAAACTGCCATGGATTGCTGCGGAGTGTTAAGCTAATTTATTACCAGACAGTGCTGTGGTACCTGTCGCTTGATGGGTGCTGTCGTTGTCAAGACAATTTTTAAGCTTTCAACGCGTTTTCACGAACATTCAACTGATAAAAGTTGCTACTTACTAGTATTTACAAATGATTCGTGGATTTGTGCGGTTTACTGGATATTCTTGATTCTTGTCAATCTTATTTCAAATCTATCTAAAAACTAAATCGGGTGCACTTTTTGACTTGCTTTATACCGAAAGACCCATGCTAGATTTAAAAATGTATTACCTTTACTTCCTTTTTCTTTACCTTTTCAATTTTCTCATTTTTTTTATTCTATATGGTTTTGGGAAATTCTTTAAGATCAATTGTGAAATTTATTTATATCTCAATATTAAACATGTTACGGCGTGTAAAGGTGTGCATAATGGTTTAAGCTATTAAAATGAGTTATGAGTTGAAATAAAATATAATAAATATGAATTTTAAACATCCTCTCCGACATCATTTAAAAGAAATTAGTAAAGAGAAAAGTTCAAAGAATAAAATAGTCCTACTGTTTGGTCGGATATCAATATAAAACATTATTCAATATATTATCGTTATAAATTCAAGTGGACTGTTTGGTAAACGTGCTTTGATGGGATTAATTCAATCAACAAATTGATGGCTGAGCCCACCGGCTTATTATTATGTAAGCTACTATTAATTTACTAATAATTTTCAATAAATTTTTCTAACGTGGCAGTATATTTATACAAATAATATTGTCAAACCAAAACAAATGAAAATATCTCGACGTCAAGAGAGAAACAAAGTTTGAGAAAAATATTGCAAATTATCAAGTATGCTAATTCAAGAAATTCCTTTTAATCTTCAAATTCACAAACAAATCCTTCATAATGATGCAATTTATGATGGTGAAACTGAAACAAATATCAACAGGGGATTCATTATTTTAAAAGATAACTGAATCCATTTTATTTTATTTTTATTTTTATTTTTGTTTGGTTTAAGATAAAGCTCAAGATTAAGCTTAGTAAAACCAAACCCACTACAAAATTTTGCTTGCTTGAGAAAATGCGAGTTGAGGGGGCAGCGGACATGAGAAGGAGGGACGATAAAAATAACTTCAGTTCAGATGTCTTATCAAATTATCTAATCAACACCTCAAAGACAATGAACATAGTAAAAGGATATTGAATGCGCATGCCAACAGAACCAGAAAAGAGCAATAAAGATACATATGTGAAGCAGGATGTGAATGCTGCACGACAAAATTGTACAATAAAGACAGTTCTTATATATGTGAAGCAGTCAATTAAATATATCATAATCCAGAAAAGAGCAATATATTCATAACATACGTGCTGAAAATGCCATGAAGCTCTTCTTCATTAATATTCTCACCAAGATTGCCAATGAAAAGGGTATTGCAAGGACTAAGGAGGGTTGTCTTTGGTATTCTAGAAAAACAAATACTGTTAAGTAAAAGAAGATAAATAGAAAATGACCACCTATTAATATTATACCACTCTCAGACTATTAAAACTGTTACGTTTTACTTCTCTAGACGAAAATGCCATGACTACACAATGGAAAATCAATTTGTGTAGTTTAAGCTAACTCAGAGTACAAGTACGTGTGATACTTGACTGGTTTAAAAGCGAAATTTTCAACTTTTGTCCACACTGACAATTCCTCCAAACAACAATCTCTGTTTCGTGGCTTGACCACAATATTCATCATTTAATATAAATTACAGGAACACACACACCCAGTAACAATTTTGTTACCTTTAACAACAAACCAAAATGCTACTAGAACAAAACAAACACAACGTTTTTTCATATAATTCAACACGTCCCAGATAGTCTAGTTAAAGAAGCAAAGCATATCGAGAGTTCGAACAAAATGACTAGATTCAATGAGCATCAAACTCTCTAAACTTATCAAATAATAAAAACAAAATAATCCAAGAGAATGATGAGTGAGTAGTAATCAAGAACACCAAGTCCAAATGAATAATAACTTGCTTGATCTCCAAGTCCTGTCCTTGTCGTAAAAAAAAACTTCAATCTCCTTGTATGCATTTGCTGCTCTTTTTTCACGTTCTCCCATCTGTTACAAGATATATATTACTTCACTCCTTATCTCTTTGAAACCTATTAAGAGAAAGAAACTATATATCAAATAATATTCTACCATATATATTCTAATATAAAAACAAAACACAAAAATTATAAATAGATAAATAAAAAACGTATTCAACAATGCCAATTGATCTCCTTCAGATTGTCTAGTACACATATTTTGAACCACTCGAGGTGCGAGAAGTACGTAGCCTCCGTCCTACACTGTTCCAGATCGTGGCATCGCTTGATTTTCAAGTATTTTAGGCTCCAGAAAAAAAATAAAATAAAATAAAAAATAAAAAATCATTGAGTTTAGAAAATAAAAATCATTTCAACTCAATAATAAAAATCAGTTCATTTCAATTTCATCTCTTCTGTCTATCTAAAACATTTAAAAGATGTAATTTTCATTGAAAAGTCTAAAAACTCAAACTTGAGCTAAAGAAAAACAAACATAAAAATGAAATTGCATACATTTATAACAACCTTTCACCGACCAAACTCATAGAACTGTAAGGTTCCGACTCCGCAAGCTCTCTTGTTGCAGTTACCGGGTCTACCTTTTATGCGGCGAAACTTTAATCTGAAGCCCAAATTCCCCAAGCCGTTCCTCTAATATTTTCTTTGCAGAAAGCACGGTAGAGTCTGAACAATAATCCAGATTGATCTCCCTAAGCGTGTGTATATCCGCAATTCCCAATGGAATCTCCTTGAGACTGCATAGATCCACTAGGTGGAGCCGCTGGAGGCACGGGAAGTGCTCGGCCTCTGCCCTCCACTGTTCCAGATCAAAGCACCCAATGATTGTCAAGTATTTCAGTCTCTGAAATCCGCCCTCGGCTGTTTCCCAGTTGGGCCCCACGAACGCATCATACCATAGCTTGAGGGCCTCGAGATATGGTAACGACCCTATCTTTGTCCCCATCTCCTCCCACCCCAGCCGAGTGCCACACAGAGTCAGCTTCCTGAGTGAAACCGGGAACTTCATCTCAACTTGTCGATAGAGATATGAACGGCATGAAAGGTCCTCCAGCTTGCGTAGCAGACAGAGATAGTCGAGACCATAATCAGCCGGTGATAATTCCTCCTCCTCTTTATCCTCATATATTAATCCCAGCTTCTTGATGTTGGGAATTCTATCAACCACTTTCTCACCCAACCTCAAGTTAAGCACTTCCTGGAGCGTCTCTAGCTTCTCCAACACCATGGAATTACTTTCTTGTTTCATGGGAGGAGGATCCTTGAGCTGGAGATTCCGTACCTTGACGTGCCTGAGTTGGGGGGACATCTGCCAGATGTCTAGCACCGCCGGCTTGTTCTTACCCATCAGGACCGAATCAACTTTTAATGTCTGTAAATTCCAGAGTCTGTACAAAGGCTGCACAGGAAATTGAATCCCTGGGGCGACCAGGTGGCACAAGTTGACAGGAAGAAAAAATTCTTGTTCATCATATTTATGGTTATAAATAAATCCATTCAGAATCCTCAGTAATCTAAAGGGAACTAAAGATGGTAAAAATCCATCAACGTTCCATATTAGAGTTCGTGCTCGTGATGCGGATTGCACAGCTTTAGGGAGTGGACGCGGAATGTATTTCTCGGCTTGGTGAATGCCGATACGGCGTTGGGCGTGCCAGCTTTGGTGGTGCTCAGGGTTATGCGTTGTTTCCATCGTGCGAAAGAATTTGTATTTCTCCGCTTCTTTCATGCATAGGTCTCTCAGGAGATTGTAGATGCCACACCGTTTTATTCTTCGAGTAGTGTCCAGCTCACAAACGAAGATTAGGTTTCTGAGGACGAGATCATGTAGATAAAATCTGGCAATTGTTTCCAAACTTTTTCCAGCAACCGGTTTCACGAATCCTTCTGCAACCCATAGCCTGATGAGTGTGGAGACGTGAATCTCGTGTTCCTCTGGGAACATGCCCATGTAGAGAAAACACGGCTTCAGGTGGACCGGCAGTTGATTGTAGCTCAGCTTTAGTATTCTAAGGCAACGCTCATCTTCCTCTAAATTCACAATCGAGCTTAAATTTTTTAAAACGTTTAGCCAGTTTTGTCGTGTTTGTTCAGACTTTGCTAGGAGTCCTCCAATTACAACAATTGACAATGGAAGTCCTTTGCACTTCCTAGCAATGTCCTTCCCAATCCCTTCCAATTCAGGAGGGCACCCTTGTTCCCCAAACACGCACCCACGAAGCAGATTCCAACTTTTTTTATGATTCAGTAAACTCATCTGAAAGTAATCAGGGCCATCGAGCTGCAAAGCCACATTCGATAGCCTAGTGGTTATCAATACTCTGCTCCCGTTGTTGTTAACCGGAAAGAAGGGCTTCACCCCATCCCACGCGTCCGTACCCCAAATGTCATCCATCACAATCAGATATCGTCGCCCAAATAAGCTCTGATACAGTTTATATCCTAATTCTTCGTGTTCGCTGCCCTCACTCCCTATGGTTGTAAAACAATGAAGGAGTTGTAACAAAATCCTTTCTGAATCAAATTCTTGAGAGACTGTAGCCCATCCGCGAATATCAAAGTGACGTACGATAACTCGATTTTCGTAAATACTTTTTGCAAGAGTGGTCTTACCAACACCGCCCATGCCGGCAATCGCGATGATCCAATGACCGTATTTTTCATTGGTCAGCTTATCTATGACGTCGATCATGAAATCATTGGAACCCACCATCGTGTCGTCCCCCTCCGAATGACGGCTGTTGGTCAGCTTATCCATGATGTCGTTCTTGACATCATCGGAACCCACCATGGCGTCATCCTCCGTGCAAGAAGGAGCGATTTTTTTTCCCGTCTTCTTATGTTTAATAGCAGCCACGTCTTCTGTGATGCATTCCAAGTTGTGCATCACTATCTGTAGCTCTCCATACAAAGAGAAGTTTTTCTTGGAAAAAATGTTAGCTTTCCCACGAGCCTCGTTATCCTTTGCCTCGTGAGAGGTATAGGATTCCACCATCATATTCTTAAAAAATAGATCCATAGGGTTTTCGTCTTTAATAATAGGATCAATATGATTGGCAATGTGGGACTCGATAATGCCCTCTGCCGCGTGAGCCGCATCGACCATACGCCCCTCCAATCCATTTACATCATCAATAATATAGTTTTCGAGAAAATCTTGTAAGAAAGCAACCTTTTCTATTAGAGGTTGGATCTGCAGTTTGTCGAGGGAGATGGGTGGGCGAGGGTGATTTTGAATTTGGTCTATAGTGTTTGTAAGAGAAAGCAGAGTTCCATAAGCTGCCATGGATCCCCTGTTGGTGAAGTGAAGTTCAATCAGCTCTAGCTCGGAAGATTTTTCTCAAATGCTTATTTGTGGTGAAGAAGAAAATGAAATTCAGATGAAATGCAAATGATATATTGGATCTGGTGTTCGAGACTTTTGAGTAGGTACCGTATAAGCATTATTGTAAAAAAGTTGGGACCATTTAAGTAGGCCTGGCTGGCACCTTGACCCACAATGACCAAATCTATCATACCTAATGTCATTGTACAACAAAAGTAGCCTCTATTATTGATTGGTTGTTTTAGGCTAAATTCTCCAAAAGAATTAGGAAATGTAATGAAGCTTCCGAACCAAAACCCGAAGCATGTAATGAAGCTTCCAAAGCGTGCGAGGCAGCCATTTAGGCTCAGCACGTTTTCAAATTATATTAAGAGCTTATTTATTAAGTATTTTATTTTAAACAATTAGGGAATGTATCCGAACCAAAACCCGAAGCATGTAATGTTGCCAAGTAAGTTTCCGATTTCCGAAGCGTGCGAGACAGCCATTTAGGCTCAACACGTTTTCAAATTATATTAAAAGTGGATAATTGATTTGACTAATGAATTGTATTAATGATTTGTAAATAGTTGCTTGATAAATATGGTTCATAGTGTCATTATGAAAAATTTATTAGTGGACAAGGCTGTTAACGAACATTCATGAACAAAAGCTCGTTCGAGTTCGTTCATTTGTTAATCGAGTTGAATTTGAACAAAAAATAAAATTTTTAATAATCGAACGAACACGAGCTCGTTCGCGAACGTTTGATAATGTTCCCGAGCATTAATTTATTATAAATTTATTTATTTTTTGTAAATTTACATAATATTTTTAATAAATATCTAAAATATAAAATATTTTTATTTTAACTTTTTTATTTTCGAGTTCAAACAACAAAATTTGAATTAATCAAACATATTAAGAAGTTTGTGTCATAAAAGTTTTGGGTCAAGATGGCAGGCCCACTTAATGGTCCCAACATTTTTACAATAATGGTTGTACGTATCTACTCAAAGTCTCAAAACCCCAGATCCAATCCATCGTTTGCATTTTCAGATGATATTTTTACTATTATTATTTTGATTTTATTTTTTTATATTTACATGATATTTTTAATAATAAAATTTAAAATATAAAAATATTTTTATTTTAATTTTTTAATTTTTGAGTTTAAACGAACATATTTCGAGTTAACCAAACAAATTTAAAAGTTTGTATCCTAAATTATTTGAACTCGAATTATTCGAACTCCAAACAAATTATATTTTTTTAAGTGTTATAGTGACACCCATTATCACCATGAAAATTGACTGCCTAAAATTTCATGTGAACATGCTAGTAATTTTTGTATTCCCAATGTTTCATTCACGATGATTGGTGCTAAACTGCTAATTATTTACACACACAAGTAGTTTTTCTTAGTAAAGAGAGAAATATGTAAATGTATTTCTTTTATTGAATTATATCGCTAGAGCCGCTGTAAGACTGTAGCAATAATTCTGTTGACGGGCGTTTCCGGTCAACGGTTAAAAAGATAAATAATGAAAAAGGAAATAATGTAGAGACAGGAAAATACGGTTTAATTGCAGTTTATTGACTGATCGCTAGGTCGGCCTCTCGTTCGAGGTCGGCACTTGCAATATCCTTACAAATCGTTACAGAGTAATTACGCGATTTTTAGAGAGAGAAAGTAGAGAGATAGCTATTACAGTTGAGTTTCAACAACCCAAAATAAATGAGAAGGGTTGCTATTTATAGTAGCCATTAATGTGGCACTGTTCAGATACTGTTCATCCGTCTTGTCGTACAGTGTTTCTGCGGGACAGTCCGGCGCTTCTCTGACAGCATTAAATGCGATTTGAGGTTTTCCTCATCATTAGGTGGCAGGCATTTAATGCTGACAGACTTTATATCTTAGCTAGGAGGAGTAGGTCTGCAGGCTATGATGTCCCATCCATTTAGCCCATGATTACCCTCCAAGTGGCATTATTATACCATTATAGAGACCGGCATCCTCCGTCATAGAGACCCGCTCTGGGACCCCAAGTCGGCACCTCGGCATCTGACTTTCATCTGTTCCCTTGGTCCTGGGGAATCTTTCTTTCAGTCCGTCATTTCTCAGCCCGGCACCCGTGGCGTCGTAATTGAAGATACCGAACTGACGAATGGTCTCACGGCGATGTCAGGGTCAAAAGGTTTTCCGGTCCAGCTCGGCACCTTATGGGTGGACCGGGTCTCTGGTTCGGCTCTCGGAATTGAGTGGTCCGATTCAGTCTCATGGGCGAACTCTGATATCAACATACAGGCCCCCGGGCTCGGAGAGGGTGCACTTCGGCATCCTCTGTGAGGCCGTCGTCCTTAGAATACATTTGGGATCGGCACATGACTTGGACTTGAGCAAATCACAACTACAATTTGCCCGTTATCTTCTGACCTGAATTGACGTCCCATTTAATGCGTTGTGACCGTTTGTGCTTCCTGTCGGTTACGAAAAGGCGTGCCGGTTCAGAGCTTTTACACGTGTCGCCCATTTATTGGCGATCTCCAAACGTCGTGTCGCTTCGTCGAAGCGGTGACTTTTGGGGCGCGTGGTCTTCACGCGGCCGCTCATAAACCGTCGGATCGTTTCGTTCCCAACCGTTGGATCGTGTCCTTTAATTTCGAATTTTAAGTGCTGCGCCACGTGTAACGTTGCGATTGGTTCTCCGCATGTATATATATCCCCATCGTCTTCCTCGAAGAACTTTTACGAGCTTTCAGAATTTTCGAGCAAACAAATCTCTTGGGCAACCGGACTTCCGAGCGGAGTTTCAGAGCAGTTTCAAGGCTTTTTCGAGTTTTTCGGGGATCTCCAAACCGGTAATTCCGTTTATCTGAAACTTTTTCTTCAGTTTCTTTCGATTATGTCGAATTTGTCCGACTGTGCTGCAAACCTCCCCGCCGGAGATGGCGGTTTCACGGCGGAGGAGACCGGGGAGTTGGTCGTTTATTCCCCACCGACGGCCGGGGCGATGCAACCGCTCAGAGTGACCCCGATTTCTGCCGTCCGCGTGACGTCGGCGGCGGCGGCAACAGACGCGCGTCGTGGGGAGCCCTCGGATTTTCCCACAATCGAGATAATCGACCTCGGGTCAGGCCAGTCCGACGCCGAGGAGGGCGAGAAGAAGTCCGACCCCGCCTCTCCCGCCGAATCGGACGTAGACGCCGAGCTGGTGGAAGAGACGCTCCGAGGCAACACCTACGGTCGAGAACGTGTTCCCATGGCGCGTGAGGATGTCGAAACTGACGCCGCCGTCGAAGCCGCCACCACGGCTCCTCTGGGGTGTTGGTGCCGCCCTCCGCGGGTGTGGCCTTCTACCGCCTCGGCTACCGCATGGACGACCCCCTCGGTGCTGACGGATCTTGATTTGGCCAAACTGAGGGGCAGGGCCAGCTTTGGCGCCGGGGTGAGAATTTTCGCCCCTTATGCAGGCGAGCGAATACACTGTCCGCCGCCGGGTTGTGTCGGCGTTTATCGGTCGAGCATCTTGCTCGGCCTCCGATTTCCGCTGCCCGGGGCTTTGAGCGACATACTTAGTGGGATTGGCATCGGTATTAGCCAGCTCGTCCCAACAGTCTTTGCCCGGCTGGTCGGCCTCATAGTCCTCTTCCGCCAGCAGGGCTGGGCTGATCCCACTTGCGACGAGGTGAAGGCCCTCTTCGATTTCAAGAAGTCCGGAGAGTCCGGCAATTACTACAGCTCGGTAACTCCCGGTGTAGAAAAGTCCTTGATTAACAAGATCCCGGAGTCGCTGCACGGCTACATGCCGGAGTGGTTTTGGGTCGGCGGCGAATGGAGGACGCCCAACACAACTCGGCACCCGTCGACCGATTTCATATCTGGCCCTTGTGAGTTATTTTACTTCCGTTCATTTCCGCTCTTCTAATTAACTGTCCTTGTCTGCTAACAGGTCGGTGTTTACATTTCAGTCCACAACCCCCATATTGAGCCAAGCGACGAGCTGGTCGCAAAGGTCGAAACCCTGCTCGGACTTCCTGCGGACAAGCGTAACTACCGAAGTCTTGTCGCGGAAGAGAACTTGATCGAGCATAATCTCTGTCCCGAGTACAACAGCAAACACTTCGAGCCCGGTACTTCTACTTAATTGAGTTAAATTATTTCTGCGCATGAGTACCTTCACGTTTATTCTCACCCTTGCATTTTGTCATCGTTCGACAGTGTACTATCCCCTCCACCGTGAGTGCGGGTTTGGTTCGGTGAAAGAAGCGAACAAGTACGCACGCGCGCATCCAAGCTCCTTAAAAAATCGAAAGATGGCCAGCCGCATGGACTTCCTGACAAGGCAGTCGAAGAAGAAGGCCTCGGCGTCGAGTTCGGCGGGGACCTCGGACCCTGCCCCGCCGAAGCCGGCCTCCAAAGCCACGACCTCAAGGGAGGCCGCTGTGGCTGCCAGCTCGGCCCCGACTGTCCCCGCTACTGTCCCCGCAGGCGGGCGAAGGGGCCGGTCTAGTGCCTCCGAGACCGGCGCCGGTCATGGCCGAGGTGTGGCCAGTCAGGGCGGGCCTGTTCGCCAGAGGAAGCGTCGAATCCTCACGGAGGAGCCGGAGGAGCCCACGGAGGATGATGCCGGGGTGCAAGACAATGCTCCGCCGTCCCCGAAAAAGAAAAAGGTATCCGAGGTTCCGGGGGCCGCCACCGCGGATGAGAGGTCGGCCTTCGTCCACCAGGCCGGCTCTTCAACCTACATACCAGTGGATCCGGACCGCAAGGCCAGCCTCTCCAAGAGCCTTGAGCGGTTCCCGGACCAGTGGTTCATCGACTCCGCGGCGGCGGTTCCGCTCGACTTGCCCAACCCCTATCGCCTGCCAGGGGAGGTGATATCTGCGGCCCAGGCTGTGATGGCCTCCTGGACCCCGACCGCCGAGACGTCCGTGTCCATGCTCTCGCCGGCGCAACTCATCCAGCATTCGGTGGCGTC